ATTAAGGACTTCACTTCTTTTTTCAAGTCCCTGCAATCATCTGTGTTGTAACATGCCGACCTGTGATATCGATAGTATTTATTTTAATTGTTCCCAGTTGAGCTCTTATTCTGAGGTGGAGTTCTGCAGAATGCATCTTTATCTTCCGATTAGATGAAACTTTTTCCAAAGTAGCATTCAATGGGTGGTAATCATAGAACCTCTTTGGATAGGGTTTAGGCCAGTCTTTGTCCCTCGTCCTTCTTTTTCTCATGAATGGACCATTGTCTAATTTTTTCTCTTTTGCCTATTCTGTAGTACGAGGTTTCGCCTGGCATCTTCCTGAATTGAGGTTGCCTTTTCTGCACTTATATGCTTTTCAACTCGGTTAAGGAATTCATGGTATATTCTAGGTCCGTATTCGTGCACGGACTACCAGAACTTCGTTCTAGGCCTCAACCCAAAAAAGACTCCACGAATGCCATATCATTAGAGATTTTATCCACCTCTTTGGATTGCTTGTTGAATCTGTTGAGGTAACTTTCAAGTGACTCGTTTTTCCCTTGCGTGATGCTCGCCAAGCATTCTTTGGTTGTTGTTCTAGCCTTGGAGACCATAAACTGAGCTAGGAACGTTGTAGCGAGGTCGGTCCAGTTTTTTATAGACCTTTGTTATAGCTTTCTGAACCACCTTTGAGCTTTGTCTCCCAATAATAATGGAAAAGCTCGACACGTGATGTTATCAATTGTTCCTGCAGCTTCATCCATGAAGTATATTTGTCTAGATAACTAAGGGAATATCCTTCTCCTTCGTACCCGCTAAGCTATAGCATCTTCAATTTTTCAGATCAGGGTTCAGAGAAAATCTTTTTTTTTTAATGGAAAGTGGTGTTTAGTAAAACATTCCTCAACAATTTCCTTATTTTTAGCTTTTAAATCTGTAGTACGCTTTTTCAAGGTGTTCATTTCTGGTTCTACCCATTTTGAAGGGCATTTTGGGTTGAGCTTGGTGATTTACCTTGGGGTGTTAGTGAATACTGAGAGCCTAATCTGTCAAACACACTTCCAGCCTTTCTGATGAATAACTCTGTTAGTAGGAGAGGACTTTTGACCTCGTTGTTCGGCTTTTGGATGATTTTTCCCTTGAAAAGCGAAGAATTCTTCTGGTGGGAGGTCGCCCAGCTCTTTCTCTAGCTGGGGTGGAGTAGTGGCCTGGTTTCACTCCAATCTACTGACTGCATTTGTCAGCCATTCAATAGCTTCTCTCATGGCAACCAATTGAGGATTACCGAACTCGTTATGACCTAGTCCCCTCAGAAAGTCTGGTGAGATATTGATTTCATTTAAGATGAGTGTGAGATTGATTCCTGGAATTCGAACTGTGGTTCATGATGATATATTGTTGTAGGTTGATTTAGTGTGGGTTTTTGTGGAAAAATGAGGGCTGCTTATACAAGATGTCCTCCTTCTAGTGCCAAATTGTTGATGTAAAAAATTGTAATAGAAATTCTTGGCCAACTTTAAGAGAAAAAAGGAGTGTCTATTGATAATTGCCTCGAAAGCTAAGCATATAATTGTTTTACAAAGGGATTGGTAGAAAATAAGAGCATATTGTATTAAAATCATGAGGCAGGCCAAGCTCTGCGTTTTGGAAGGGACAATTTGCTTTATTTATAGGGAGAATGAGCTCCCCATTGGCTGACTTAAGTCTTGTCAATCACATCATCTATAGTGTTGAGCTTAGTGATCTTGTTTCTGAATGACTATTAAGGTCGGCTACCATCAAGTCATCATGATGTTGGCCCTATTGCATTGTAAGAGAATGATGGGCCGACATCGAGTAAAGAGCATTTGCAGTTGATTGGTGAAAAGGGGAGGTGCGACATCATTTTTTTGCCAGATATCCCTCGTTGATTGGTAAGATGGGTGGCTTTGCAGCATAGCAGAGAATTTGCAATTATTATGTTTTCTGGAATTATGGCGGTCATCGGACCAAACTTAACTTAGGGGTCCAATCTAAACTTTAGCGAGTGGGCTTGGTGCTTTGAAGATATTATATTAAATCGAGGTCGGAGTTGGACTCCAACAAGGTCGAATATTATTGAGAATCTTTCAAACAACAATTTTGTAAAATACCTACTTGTGAATTTTTCGGTATCAAAATCTTTCTATATGGAAAAAGTATCCAATTTCATTTTATTACATGGGATCATTTCTTCGTTGCTACTTTCATCATCCATTCATTTCCCTCTACTTGAGGGCTCACAAGAGGGAATAACAGTGCCAAAATAAAATCGAGAAAAAAAAAAAGAAAATTACACCCATATTTATTTTTTAATTTTGCTCATTCCAATAATTAGGTGCAAAGATTTTCCTTTCAAAAATCAGGTTAACCACACCCTACCCTTCCCCACCTATACATTCACCGTACGTTCAAAAAATCTATGATTCTCTCTCTATTTACACCACAGATTCAACTAGTTGTCACCATCAATTTTCTCCACTATCACCGAAAATTAACTACCCGACTACCCTCAACAGTCCACCCCACCCCACCTCACACCATCCAATCCCACCCTGTGGGGAGTGGGATGAGGTGAGGAGTGTTTAATTGGGTAATTTGTGACATAGTAAAATGTATGATTTGTGATTAAAATATAACGTTGAGATCAACAAATTGTGCATTTGTGACTGTGACGTTGTGTGATTTGTGATTATTATTTTATTGTGACCATAAATTGCATGTTTACTACGATCATGGCATATTTGATTAAATATAGATCACAAAATTTTATCAGAGGTTACAAATTACGATTACATGATTTTTGAAAGAGTATCCCGAAAGTATGATAATTATATATGTATTTTTTACGAGGGAAAAAAGAAAAAAAAGAAAAAACAGCCGCTAAAATGATAAACAAATAATTTTAACTATACATTTTATATGATTCATAATTTTTCAACCACACATTTTATCAACTTTTATCAAAATTATCTAAACCAAATAAGAACGAATATTATGCCCTTGTTTGATGTATATTAAAATCGGACTATTAGTATATTTTGATTAAAGTTGTGAAATGTATGGTCGAAAAATTGTATTTTCAATTGATTAGAATTAATTATTGACTATATCTCGAAATTTTAAGTAGATTAATCTACATGAAAGAGGACAATATCAACTATATGATTATTCAACCTAAGTTGGACACTTTTATTTTGTTTTCCAGCATGATCTTTTGAAATAAATTCTCTATAATAGGGATATTGTGAATAGTGCCCTAATTTATTTTGAAAGGGCAATATTCTAACTCAAGCTTTACTCAAGTATCGTTGGCGTACGTTGACATGCACAAATTTTATGTTCAATAAAATAGTTACTTTTGAACAGAAATAGTGTCAAATAATTTGAAAGAAAATTATGATGCAATGAAGTATCATAACAGCCTATCTTATTATTTGACAATCACGAGTGAATAAATTATTGAAATTTAATAAAATATCTACAATTAAATAAAATATTAAAAATTTATAAAATACAAAATTAGAGATGAACATTTTAACTGGAGTTGAACCGAAATCAAATTGATCGGATGTCCCAATCCAATTCCAGAAAGGAAAAAAAATTAAGAACCACAACTCAAAACGTATCGAGTTTCGAAAAGTTCTTGGTTCTTGAAATGGGATGTTTTACCCGACTCTGAAATTGAATTTGTTATTTTATTACAATGTATTAATCTTAACCCAATCACTCGACCCAACAAATAGCAATTTTACAAGTTCCAAAAAATAACAAGTCCTTATTTGATGGTCAATATTATGGAAAAATAATATTTTAAATAGTGATTTTTAGGAGAATGTGTGGTTGAAAGTAGGAAATAAAATTTAAATTTACGTACAAAATATTTTATTGTGTGAATGTGTAGTTAAAAATAAGTATATAGAAAAAAAAAATTCAAATAATAATCGTCAAACAAGGACAAAGATTGCAAGAATCAAATAGTTAGTATCATAATTAATTTGAATAATTAAATCATATCACTTTACGTCATACTCGTCCCCCAATTTTTTATTTTTGGCGCCGCATGCAAAGCCATAGTTGAAAGGTTACTATATAGTGATTTAGAAAGCAGTCAAAATACGTATTTGATGACATATTTTAAAAATAATTTGTATTGTTAGATAATAAGTTTTTTTTTTATTTTCTAAAAAATGTTATAAATAAAATTGAATGGTTTTACAAAATGTTCAATGTATAATAAATGGTTTTAAGTCATTATGTAAACTAATATATGTTTATAAATTATTTAAAACACTCAAAGTCCAATCGATCACTATCTTATTAATATAATTACATAACATACTTACATTTAACTGTTGATTTAATTTATCAATTTGTTTGAAAAAGAGAACAGTTTATTCTTTTAATATGTAAATTATTATGGGAGAATTGCACTGTAGGTCCTCAACTTATTGCTTGAAAGCAAGTTGATCCTCAATCTTCATCGACAAGTTCGTACCCAACTAAAGTTACACAATCACTCTTCAAAATACAGAAAACATTCAAATATCTGTTGAATGATCAAATGAACCTCGTGAAAACATGCCTACCCGTAAAAATAAAATTTAGCTTCATAAAATTGAACTCCATTTCCCCATAGTCCCACTGCAGCAAACCAGTGAGAGCTCCTGAGTAGTACCCGGAAAAAGTGGAGGAAAGGATGTGACATGCAAGAAGGAAAACAAGTAAATTTGCAACTGTTTAAGCTGTGATATTAAAGCATTTGATCGCTGCAATATACACATGCATTATAATCACTTCAACCCAAAAATGACAGTAGATGAAAAGAGAAATTATACATTAGACTTGGTTAGAGAGATTAGAAAAATAGGTCAAGTGCCTCAGTAAAATTTAAATTTGACTGTCCTCAGGTTCATACAATGATAAGACAAAGAAATATTGAGCAATACTCAATTTTGAGCAAATCATACATGAAATTTTGGAGAAATGGACTTGCTCGATTATGACTTCACCAATTCTACACCATAGGAACATCTGTAACAATTCTGATGATGATTTCGCATTGCATAGCTGATAAAGGAAATCAAAAAGGAATGTTTCCCTTTGTTAACATCCAGCTTATGGCTAAAAATTGATAAACCAGCAAGAAAATATTTGATGGCATCTCCAATCAAAACTCTAACCTCAATATATTTACTTGCTTAGCGGAAACATGATATAAAATTCTTAAGATGACGAGAATAAATGTAATGGCAGATCCAATTAAAATTCTAACCTTAACGTTTTGAGAATTGAGGGCGCTTTCTAGCTTTCTTAAGCCCAACCTTCTTCCTCTCGACTACTCTCGAGTCCCTGGTCAGGAGACCTTCCTCCCTTAGTGGTGATCTATGGCTCTCACTCACCTTTAGCAAAGCTCGAGCAATTCCAAGGGAAATTGCTTGAGCCTGCCCAGAAAGTCCTCCACCTTGTGCCTTGACAAAAACATCATAGCTACTCTCGTAGCCTAAAGTCATCAATGGAGTCTTAACATACTGCAGCCAGAGGGGATTGCCTTGAAGATATTCCTGCATGGAAGGGAATCATCATCACATTAATTTGATATGATAAAGATTAGTGAAGCATCTGAAGCTATGAGCCTACATAATAAATTGTAGAATGGTGAAGAAGTAGCCTTTCCCACTTAATGCACTAAATTCCGAATTATTTGCAAGTTCTTCAAGAGATCGAGGGTAAAAAAAATAAAAATAAATAACCATCTACAAACTAAGCCCCTTTTTGACATTTGACAACCATTATTTTTAAAATATTTTTTCTATATACTCATTTTCGACCACATATTCATACAATAAAAGATCCTGCATATAAACCCAAAACTTTTCATTACTTTTTAACCGCACATTATCCTAAAAATGACAATTCAAAACTCTATTCAATAATGGTTGTCAAACAAGGGCTAAGTTTATTCTCGACACATTAATCATTTTTGCTACATTCAATGCTACTTTAGATATAAAACAACTAGATCCTTAGTAAATGTCACAACCCCAATGATTTGTTCTCTTTCATAGCACCACACTTAGAAGGATACAATTTACTATAACCCACCCTTCTATTTTCTAACATGCTCTATAGAGATTGCATTATTCTTATGAACGGGGAGCCTCTACTGATCCAGGGTCATCCCAACAAGGCCTTAACACTAGGTGTTTCACTAGGGGAAGAATATTGAATGTTCAAAACATGATGCAATGCTGATTGCATACCCTATCTCTTTCACAATCAATAAACAAAACTGTGAAATTATTTATTAACATAAGTAGTGGAATTAGAAAGTGCACAATCAAAATATTTTCACCAAGAAACCAAAACTATTTAAATGGCGAACCAAAAGGGGATGAGAGCTCCATATCATAGAGCGTCTTTTGCTAAGTAACTTTGTGCCCTTACCTTTTCCTTAAATAAAACAAAGTTACGCTTGTTAAGAGTATCTCTCACCTTATGAAAATAAATAACTTGCTTATTTCTAACTCTCACAAAAAAGCTAATTACTTGTAACTTTTGTAAGCTCAGCCAAACATATTGTTAACAAATGTTCTTTCAATCCTGCAGTGTGTACCAAATATATTCTCTATGGTCAAGGCTAATGAATAAGCGTGAATAGAAAAGGAAACCTAGCCATTCTTCCATTTTACTTTATGAATAAGACGAGCCAAGAGTGCAAATTCCTTGTTCAATCTAAACCTAAACAATACCAAATTACAAAACTACAAAGCGCAAACCTAAATGCACTGTTTCAACTGATAAAATAATAAAACAAAGGTTGAAAGTCTAATTACAATAAATGGTGGTTTACATTGGCATCGCGGTAGTTAATGATAATTTTCCCAGAGCCTTCTTGGAGAACAACTCGTGCAATTGCACTTTTCCTTCGTCCCGTGCCGATGATATTCTGCGCCGCGAAACCACCCGGAAGTCGAGACTTCACTAGTGTCTTCAAATCGGCCGTTTCCACGGCGGCGGTGGCGGCGATGGTGAGGTTGGGGGTTTTGAAAGGGAGAGATTTTGAGTAAGGGAAGGAAAGGGATTGAAATACAGGCTTTTGAGAAATTTGGGAGGAAAATGAGAGGGAGGATAAGGATGAAGTGAGAGCAGAAATAGAGGTCGCCATTGGTGGGTGTGAAGGATTTGCTGTAGGGGTGAGAATTTGAAGAGTTTGGAGTGGATAACGTAAGCCAATTGTCGCATTTGTCCTCCAATGCGAAGAAACTAAAAGCGCTATTGTATTAAATCTGTCTTGTAACCAAAACTGCAGGCTGTAAATAGCATGTAACATTGTAAATATTACCAGTTATACAATTGTTGCGCCGATAAAGTATTTATATTTAAAGAAGAATGATCTAATGAGTATCGGTACTCTTTTTATGCTAAGCAGTGAATGAACTAAACAAGGGTGTGGATTCTATAATGATTTCCTGTGGGACAATACTATACTTTATATTTCTTGGAAAAATGATGACGTGTCATATCAATTCATTGGTGGATAGCACCAATAGATTGATACAACATATCAACAGTGCTAAGCATATTATGAGCACCGATACTTATTATATCATTCCTGTATATTTAAATTTTTTATTTTATATATATTTGATATATTATATAATGGGGTTGATAATTCAAATTGAAGATATGATATATTTTGTTAGAGTATGACCCTAATTCTATTGTGAGTTGGTACTATATGTTTTGAAGGAGTCAAAGATGGAATAAGGGGAAAAAATAACCACAAAAGCGCTCGATGTCCGCGCATTGAGCACTTGAGCTATTTTGTTAGCGACTCCAGTGCTCGCTATCCACACCTTGAATGCTCGAGCAATCGAGCCACCGCTCGATGCTCGTGAGACCATCGCTCTAGCGAACGTTATATTCAAGGAAAACTGTTCGCGATTTTAACAGTTTTTACATTCCTATTCTCTTTCAAACACTTCATTATTTGTTAGGCTTGTTATATTATGACTCCACCACATGTTAGACTCTTCTTTGTATTATATATATAGAAGTAATTATATCTCTTGAGTTCATCCAACAATCTTTTGTAATTATCCTTTAATATAGTGGATTCCACCCTTGCCCTTGGGTTTTTTCCAACTTGGGTTTCTACGTAAATCTTGTATTCCTGTTTTTATTTTTCATATTGTCAATTCTGGTTTTATTATAACTAATTGGTATCGGAGAGAGTTTTGATTTTCTGTGATGACAACTATTAAATACGATATTTCTCTTTTGGATTACAAGATCGAATTTTCGTTATGACAAGTGATGGACATATATGATACTCTGTTAGGATTTGATAGAATCCCTTCAATTTGGACGCGGAGGGAAAACAATGTAAGGATCGGAAGGCCCTATTGCAAATTCATTTTCATCTATCAAATCAAATTCTTCAGGACGTTCTAAAGGAGAAAATCGCATCTACATTATGGTTAAAATTAAGGCAGTTATGCATTACGAAAAGTCTAATCAGTAAATTGCATTAGAAGCAGTAATTGTAATTTCATCGTATAACAAAAGACGCGTTTATAGAAGATTACCTAATCGTCTTTAAGGAAATTGTCGCTTATCTGGAGACCATGAATGTTAGGTATGATGAAGAAGATTTAGGGTTGATTTTGTTGTATTCACTACCTTCTTCATATGTGACTTTTAGAGATACTATTTTGTACAGTCGTAACACTCTTGCCATGAATAAAATATAGGGAAAATTGCAGCCACGGTACCAAACATTTCCAATTTTCGCAGACTTTGCCCAAACCTTTGGTTTGTGCCACCGGATATACCAAACGTTTCAAAAATATGCACCGGAGGTCCAAATGGATGGTTTCCGTCCAGTTGACCCTTAGTTGACCAAGAATAGTAAATTTTTACCAATTTTTGACAAAAATGTGAGGGGTAAAATGGTAACTTGACAATTTTAACATAAAAAAAAGGAAAATTAAAAAAGGTTAGACTTTTCACCTTCTTCCCAAATTTCATCCCACCCCATCCCATCCTACCCTATCCCTAAAAAACTACCCTTCATTTTTCGGCAACTTTCGGACCCCAAAACCACCGGATATTGAGACCTCATTAATCGTAGATACAACAAAGTTGTAAGTGTAGGTTTATACGGTAATACTTGACAAAATCTCAATATATTCAAGAATCACTGGCTACTGGCTGCTCTGCTCAAAGCTTAAAACCCAAAAATTTCTCAGCTTAAATTTTCCCCAACTCAATTTTAGTAACATCTTCTGAGCAAAATAAGAAAAATTCCGTGACTAGTGAAAAAGCACAGAAAATCTGTCAAAACTATGGTTTTCGAAAAAACCTAATTGGGTTGTTTTTGTAATGCTTAATCTCGAATCTGTTTAGATAAAATTTGTGGGTTAGTTGAAATTTGAGGAGGATGGAGTGCCATTGTTTTTGGGTGAGATGATCTCCGACATAGCATATAAGAGGAATAATGGAATTTTGGGAGTGGTGGTGAAGGTGAAGAGAGGGGATACTTTTTTTTTTTGTGGGTTAGTTGAAATTTGAGGAGAATGGACTGAATCAGATGGAGAGATCGAGATCTAACATGTTTTATTATCACCAGGACTATGATTCCGAAACCTTACACTCGAGGACGAAACCACGGTACAGTGGCAGCAGAGTGGGAGGAGGACAACATTTTGTTTTTGGTAACCACCGCCGATTTGTTGGGGGAGGTGGGAGTGGGAGTGGGGGGTAGCGGCGGATGGAAAATGCAGGACATTTCTTTGATGGTTACCACTAGCTATCGAATTCTTTGTCATGATTTAAAGGCTGGGGTGTTATTGGAAAATCAGGGAGCATTATAAAGGCCATTAGGCAGCATACTGTGGCGTGGATTAATGTGTACAAGCTGATTCCTGGTGATGAAGAGAGAATTATTGAGATTTCAGATACAAGGAGACGGGACCCTGATGGTTGGATGCCTGCATTCTCGCCTGCTCAAGAGGCGTTGTGGTGGTGGTGGGAGGAGGCGGTGGTGGTTGTTTTTAAGGGATAGGATGGTGTGGGGATGGATGAAATTTTGGAGAAGGTGTATAGTCTAACCTTTTTTAATTTTCCATTTTTATGTTAAAATTGTCAAGTGACCATTTTACCCCTCCCATTTTTTGTCAAAATTGGTTATTCTTGGTCAACTGGACGGAAACCGTCCATTTAGACCTTTGGTACATACTTTTGAAATGTTTGGTACCTCCGGTGGCACAAAACAAAGGTTTGGATAAAGTCTGCAAAAATTGAAAAGGTTTGGTACCGTGGCTGCAATTTTCCCTAAAGTATATTATGCCTTATTCTCTAAGGAGAAAATGAAACAACTTGTGTTTGGATCTGAGAGCCAGGCAGAGGGTTTTGTTGTTAGTGGAAAGACATAGGACATGAATTTTGGTGGTAATATGAACGATAGATCGAAATCTAATAATAGAGACAAAATCTGTAATTACTGTAGAAAAAGGGACACATCAAATCTAATAGCTATAAGTTGTAGAATAAGAGTAAAATGGCTACTTCTTATCAGAAAGAAAAACAACCAGAAAATTCAAGTGAAGCCAGAGTTGCAGAAGATGGCCACGATGATGGAAAACTTTTAGCTATTTCTGACGCCGACCACAAATTTTGCGAGGATTGGATTTTTGATTCAGCTTGCATGTTTTATATGTGTCCTAATTGGAATTGGTTTTCAACATATAAAACAATTTTCAAAGGTGTTATGATAATGGGTCATAACGCGCCTTATAAGATAGCTGATATTCGAACTGTCAGAATTAAGATGTTTGATGGGATTGTCAGGATACTAGGTGATATAACAGATGTTCCATATCTTAAAAGAAATCTTATATCTCTCATTACTCTTCATTTAAAAGGGTATGAGTACACTGGTAAAACTGGAGTCCTAAATGTTAGTAAAGATGCCCTTATTGGGATGAAATGGCAGAAGAGGTCCACATATTAATATGTCTTGCAAGATTCTATTGTCACATGTGTTATGTTTATATTTTGTATTGGTGATTCTGTGAACAAATTGATCAACTTGAACATTTATAAAAGTTTAGGGACTAAATTGCAAAGTTTCATAGTTGGTAGGTTAGCACGGGGTTTGGGGTTATATGTTTGGAACAAAAAGAATTCACGCGCGGATTTTCTCTAGTTGCTCGCCGGAGTGAAGCAGAACCTACTTCGCTCGATTTTCGCCCCACTGTCGTTCGAGCGAAGTGGCTACGTATTATATTGGGAAACCTAATTTTCGATTTTTTACTTGGCCCATACAACCTAATTCGTCCAACCTATATATTGAAGGCGCCGTATTTTCTGAATGATGCATTGAACAACATAATATTCAAGAAGAATACATTCTACACAAGATGTAAAGTTCAATCCTTCAATTCATATGTGCCTCTTTCATTGAAACGTCAAGGCTATCAAATCAAACACTGGATTGGTTTCTTCGCTTGGATCTGCTGCAAGATTGTGTTGTTAACTGTGCTGCATTAAAGATCAAGGGAGAATCTAAAGAATGAGGAGTTCTTTGGGAAGATCTACAAGAGATAAATTGCGTAAAGATTTAGGATTGGAGTTCGTGTACTCATTCCAGGAGGACTACTTTACAAAGAAGAGTCGAGTTTGGTGTTCGTGTGCACATTCCAGGAGAGCTGCTTCTTACTTCAGACAGGAGATCGGAAAGCTTGTGTTGTCAACTTTGCTGGTAGTCTGTAAGTGTATTATCAGTTTATAGTGGATCTTTGACTGACAAAGCGCTTGAAGTTTTTCCCATGTTGGGTTTCTCCATGAACAATTCTGGTGCTATTTACTACTTTATTTATTGTTGTGANTTGTTTACTGCTTTATTTATTGTTTTGATATAACCGTGGTATTCAAAGATAGGCTAAATTTGATTGTTTGACTAATCACCTAGTCATAATTAATTTGTGACATGTTGCTAGTTAATTAGATTGATAATTCCGCATTTACACCTAATCACCCCCCTCTAGATGTAGTTGGATCGAATCTCGCATTTCTCAGCATGTGATGCAGCTGTCACTACTCATTCCTTGTTAGGTCATGATGTTACTAGACTTTGGCATATTCATCTTGGGCATATGAGTGGGAATGGGATTGTTGGACTCAATAGGAGAAGACTTCTTGATGGACAATTACTAGTAAATTGAAATTCTGTGAGAGCTACACTTTTGGGAAGCAAAGGAGAGTTAGATTCGCCAAAGGTGTTCACAACATGAAAGAAACACTTGATTACATACATCCTGATCTCTAGGGACCATCTAGGGCATCTTCTAGAGAATGTGCTTACTATATGCTGACCATTGTTGATGATTTTCCGAAACATTTGGGTGTACTTTTTAAAAACGTAGAGTGATGTGCTTAGTACATTCAAGGAGTGGAAGATCATGATTGAGAAGCAAACATGGAAGCAGGTGAAATTCCTCCACACTAATAATGGTTTGGATTTTTGTTCTAATAAGTTTAATATTTTCTGCAAGTCAAGGGAATTTTGAGGCACTTGACAATTTGTAAGACTCCGCAGCAAAATGGTATGGTAGAATGGATAAATAAAATTTTGTGGAGAAAATATGTTATATGCTTTCCAATGCTGGTTTACCTAAATCATTTTGGGTTGAAGCTGCTTCTACAGCTTGTTTTCTTATTAATCGTTTGCCCTCAGCTGCCATTGAAAAAAAGACTTCAAAAGAGGTATGGTTTGATACTCCTTCTATTTACTCAAATTTGAAGATAATTTGATGTCTTGCTTATGCTCATGTTGATAATGAAAAATTGAAACATAGATCTAGAAAGTGTGTATTTCTTGGCTATAAGTCCAGTTTTAAGAAATATAAGCTATGGTGTCCAAAAACAAGTAAAGTCATAATTAGTAGAGATGTTATATTTGATGAACGCGCCTTATCTTCGACAGAGTCTATTGATATAAATTAGCAGAAATCAAACACACGGGTGGACTTTGAGATTGGTTCAGAGTTTATACCAATGTCTATATCTCAAGCTAGCTCAAAAGTAAAAAGGTAGATGGATGACTGCTATGCAGGGGAATAGGGAATCACCTTATAAGAATGGTACATGGGACTTAGTGAGATTCCCTAAGGATAAGAAAATTGTTCGTTGCAAGTAGGTGTTCAAAATGAGAGAAGGTACACTAGAAGTTGAAGAAGCCAGATATAAGGTAAGACTAATTGCAAAGGGATACAATCAAATTTCAGGTGTAGACTTCACAAATATGTTTTCTCCAGTTGTAAAGTATAGTTCGATTCGAGCTTTGCTTGATATTGTGCCGAACACAATTTAGAGCTTGAGCAGTTGGATGTGAAGACAACATTTTTACATGGAGAACTTGATGAGCACATCTATATGCAGTAGCCAGAGGGCTATATGGTTACAGGAAATGAGGACTATGTGTGCTTGCTGAAAAAGTCCATTTATACCCTGAAATAGTTGTCCAGATAATGGTATAAAATGTTTGATACAACGAATTTATCATCTTCTACCCGTGATTTTTTTCCCAACTTAGATTTTCACATAAATCTTGCGTTCTTATTCTTATTATCCATATTGTCAATTCTCGTTTTATTATAACATATTTTAAAGCCGTAAATTAAATCATATGTATGGTCTAATTGTGTTGCAAGGCAATATTTAAGAAAAAAATGACAATAACGGAGCTTGGACTTTATTACCTTGCAAGTATTAAAAGGATTTATGAAAGGAATTTGTTGGTACAATGATGCAATGCCCATTGGGCCTATTGAGCTAGCCCAACTGGAACTTAATGAAGTCCAGCCCAGCTTCTGTTTTCTGTTTTGGTGCAAAAACGTGTTTGGAAAAGAAAAGCTTAAAACCATGTTTCACTTACTTGTTTTGGATGCCAAGGATGTCACCACGTGTCACCTCCAATACTGTTGGATTATGGCGATTCTATTATTGATGAAGTTTATGTGGCTGTTAGCTGTCCACCTTGTCAAGAGTGGATTCTTGACTCTGGTTGCACCTATAATATGTGTCCTAATAAGGAATGAAACCTTTGGGCTTCGGCTGGTTTTCTGTTTCTATTTTACTGCTACTTTAGTATTCTTGTTTCAGTTTCTTATACTTTTATATAATTGTTCTAACCTCTTGTATATCTAATGTTAGTTTAGCTTATGTACTTCTCTTGAGTGAGTTGTAGTGCAATTCTTGGGTGAATTGTGGTGGGGCTATTATGTATCCTTGTGCGCGATGCAAGAGAGTTTGAAACTGTGGATGATTCTTGTGTGATTCTTCATTGAGTGCTTGTTTTTATGTCTGAACAGCAATCTGTAGATCTGTTTTAAGACCTCTAAACAACCTGAACATGTGAGAAAAAGGGTTAAGTTTGAGGTGGAGCAACCTGGGGGTGGTTCTAACCTATCTGCCTATGTGCAACTCTTTTTTTTTTGTAGAAATCCTGTTTTGATAAATAGATCTAAGCATGTTGATGATTAGATTTCATTTTGTTAGATATGTTTTTCACAAGGAGTTGTGAAACTTGAATAGATATCTGCTAATTTCTACCCTGCTGATGTAGGTACTGAGGTACTACCGTTAAACAAATTTCTGGACTACTTAACCTTGCTGCTGATCTGTGGATGCTGCAGTTCTGTACTTATGATATCTGTGTTTTTGAGTAACCACTGATGCTTGAATCATTGTACCAAGGTGGAGTATGAATGGAATTTGTTGGCACAATGATGCAATGCCCATTGGGCCTATTGAGCTAGCCCAGCTGGAACTTAATGAAGTCCAGCCCAGCTTCTGTTTTCTGTTTTGGTGCAAAAACGTGTTTGGAAAAGAAAAGCTTAAAACCGTGTTTCACTTACCTGTTTTGGACGCCAAGGATGTCACCACGTGTCACCTCCAATGCTGTTGGATTGGCGACTGTAGAGTGACCCCTTAAATGGGCTCCTAGGGTTCGTGATCTTCATAACTTGGCTTCGAGATTCTTCTCTTTTCCCTGTGCTCTCT